TAAACTAACGGAGAGTTGAAAACTGCATTAATTTTAAACAAATTGTAATGACTCGGTTAAAACAAATGAAAATACATCATAGGTTACCTAACCTGTTTTCTATAAAATAGCCAAGCTCATGAAGAGTTGTCAAGTTACACAGTTTTAAAGTTCCATCACCACATTTAAAACTTTGTTGTTGACATGTTTTCCTGGTCAGGATTTTGCCTTTAAGTATACTAATGAAGTTTGATTTATCTTTTATAGAATTTGATTTACTTACTTTATAATCTAAGATCTAACACTTTACATGTAAACAACGTGATAACAATTTTTGTATTTTCAACAAGTAAAAAATCCGTTGTTCTACTAACTATATATTTTTTACGTTATAAATTTTGATTTTGTGAAAAAATCCATTTTGCTTATGAAATATTGAGTTGCAATGTAAATATTTCCAACTCATTGAGATACAGGTAAGGCACCCAACATACGAGTTTGATTCTCAGAGAAGTTAGTGTTCCGACACAAAACATTTCTACCACGAAGGGAGATACTTTTTTATTTCGAAAGAAAGATTCCCGTCATGATCCAATCTGAGGGTGCTCCTGCTCAATGATATCTCGTCTCCATTCTGTTGAGTTCACATTCTCACTCGATCTGGTGTAGTCTATTTCGTTCCAACTAAACACACTCCTTAGTTTAGAGTTAGTATATTCTTGTTTGTTTTCTGATATTGACTGAACTATTTCTTGTTAAATAGTTTCATGGCACGAGTAGTAATTGTCTTAATAACTTGGTGATAGAAGTGTTGTGGGACAAAATATAGCCGATAAAAAAAAACTGACCTAAAAGTTTATATGTCACGTATTTGTTAACTTGGCGTTTAATTACAAAAAAAAATCATTCAGTCCTTGATCCTTATAGTTTTATTTTATAGAACATTCTACTTAACTCCGTTTTCCTATCACCCTTTAACGAAAATCGATACAGTATAGTTGAAATTGTACAGTTTTTGATTATGATATCAAATCCTAATGAGATTTGCCTTTAAGTTTTACTTAATTTTGATACAATACTTTACATCAAATTAACGAGAGGCCATCGCTTATACTTAAATGTAGCTAAAAAGTTGAGGAAAACCTTAACATGTTACAAACCCAGTAAAGCCTTGTGGAAAAATTCACTTTAAGCAAAAATAGTATTCAACTGTTTCACTTTCACTTGATATCTTGTCAATATATTTATTGGAGTTTTTCTAACATGGAGTGAGATTGTTATCAACATAAAGTTGATTCTATAACGTATTTAAAAAAAGTTATATGTTTAACTAAAACAATCTAGCAAAGATATAACTGTCCCGGTTGATTGAAATGAAAGCAATAAAGTGCTGTAGATGTATTCAGATTTATATTTAGCTGAACGATACTCAAGTATTTGAACAAGTGAGTTTCAATTTCTCCAATATTGAAGTTCTGAAAAGCAGAAATTTGAGACGCAATACACTCCAGCTTTGCTTATCTAATATCTTTTTTGTTTGGTAGTACGTGGTGTTGGGGTTGCGTTGAACTTTCCGTGCGTGTGCGGCTTTTGCTCGAAATCGAGAGTAATATATTAGGTACTCGAATTGTACTAATAATATTGCTTGTATTTATGGCACATTCAGACTATTATATCCTAATGTTAGGGTTTCATCACTTAAATTTCATTTGATAATTTGCTGGTAAAAAGACCAGTTTTAAGTAATCAAGCTGCCTTATTAGATAAATATTTGATCTTTACGGACTACATTTCTTGTTGATATTTGTGTAGTAGCATATCGTGTAAATTTAGCATGTCAAATCGAAGTACTGTGTTTTAACATATCTACCTACAATGCGATTCGTTGTGCAAAGGCAAAGGACTTGGCATTGACCAAAGGGAAGTAAGGTAGTTAGTTATCCGTGCATTGTCTGAACGTTGGCCTAATTATCATCCAACATAGTCCTGTGATTAGAAATAATCAATTACCAGCACAAACATAAATTACTATAATGTGTCAAAAATCTATTCTTTTAAGGCTGCATGTGGCAATCAGCTAACACATAACAAACTCTCTAAACACTTCAAGTCAGTTACATTGTCTTGCAAACAATCGAATGACATTTTTGTGCAAATTTCCTCGCCTTGTACACTTGTACAGCTCTCCTCGCCCCCTATCTTGGTAGTTGGAAGAAAACCACTGAATCAAGGCAGTGACTTATTGACGTATGGCGGGATTTGAACTCCGGGATATCAAGGAAATAATTTACTCGCTTAAATAACTAATAGACCGGTGTTGTTCGTTGTATTTACAATGAAAATGTGTAAACGTATTTAACAGTCGTAAAATTATCTAATCCTTTATAATGACAATTAATTCTCGATTCGGGTAGTTAGCTTTACAGCTACACTCCCCATTACCGGGTTAGAGACATCTAATTCTAACGTAGTGAAGCGTTCGAACTGTGTCAAGACGTCAATTAATCATACTAGTTAACTCAATGTGAAGCCACAAAATCAGGTCGAAAATCAAGTCAACTATAAACTTGTTGTGTGGAGACCAAACTTTTAATTGGCTAACTTGGAGCAAACTTGAGTGTGTTTGGAGCAACAGTTTTGATGTTGTGGTTACAATGTATCATCGAAATCTGTTGTAGGTTACCTTGCAGTGGTCAATAACAACACCTGACTGACAACAATGCATTATTAGAAACAGCTGATCGTATTTGCCATTCAAAGTGGATACTTTACGAAGTATTCTTGGTATTGTTCACTCGAATTATTTTTTAACCAATAGCATAATTAGTGACATTACAATATTTTATTGGACTAAAATGAGTATGTACACTTGAAGTTAGTGCGATATGTCGGTGTCTCATGGTATTATTTAACTTAATCGTAAACCGAGTCTGAATGATTCCCAATAGTTATCTTGGAATAGTCAAACCTTTATTATTTCTATTATAACCACAATTTTCAAATGTTATTTCTTTGAAAAGAAAATTATGTTATTTTCAATTATGAATATTTGCGCGATATAATAATTTTAACTCGTGGATGTTAAATGCCAGTATCGTGATACATTTTTGGACCCCTTAGCTAAATGTCCCTAGCAGTAAACCTTGATATAGAGCAACAACGTCGGACTAGTTCAAGTCTACTTAAGGTAAACTTTTTTCAGTACAAAAATTAGATTCAACATGTATGTTGTAATTATATTTAACTGAAGTGATTCGGAGGCTAACATCATGAAATATTTTATAATAAAGAAAAGATGAATGTTCAAATGAGTCTTTAGTGTTTGGTCAGTTGGCAACTCGCCGTCTCCTGTAATGCCTACGGGGTGTGTTACGGCACTATCCATCGACTCACTAATAGGATTCACCCCTAAGGTCTTGTCATCCGTTTATACAGCTACAGAAGGTCTTATGACATAATCAATGCCAAACGGATTCAACGGTTAATTTATGGTGCTTCTCCGCCTACAATTTGCAGGCTACTTACCAACAAAATGGAATAGGCTTTCCCAATATTAACAGGTGCAACGATTTGTGAGCTCAAATTTGTCACCTGCTCAAAATATAAAACGATAGGTTTGTTAATTGGATACTTCATTAACATAGCTCTTAATGCTATGACTAAAGTATCAATTCATAACTTTACAAAAACATTGAAGATATTGAAAATCGTAATTTGTATCTGTATCTATTTATACATAAGAATATAATCGTTTTAGAAAATTCATTAATTGTATGATCAAATTTAATAAACCAATGATAATGGTAAGGGTCGGCGCGGCAGAAACAGAAGTAATATAGTTATTTTACAGCTTCCACTCGCGTCATGGCCATTTTATCGTTCGTCACAACCTTTGTTTTACTACGCGTGTTTTATATTCGAGTTTGTGTGGCCTTAAAACCCTCCGAATGTGGAATTTAGATGTATGCTATGTTTAGAGCCAATATCTTTCCTCAATACATTAAATAGAATGTTTTTCATGTTTGATCAGTTTTGGTGATATGACCACTACTACTTTTTATAGGAATTGGTGTTTACTTAATTTAATATATGGCTTACATACGTTTTCTTTATTTTGATTTCCCAAAGATTACATTTAAATAGCACATTGCATTGTAAATTAATTTTAACTAATACCTTGTACTTAGAGGAAAAGAATGCCAACAATTGTATATTAAGTAGATACCTTAGTAAAAAGCAGAAAGTAGATGTTTTTCAGTACAAGTATGTTTTCTGTGGTACAGCAAGACACTTCACGTGCCAGGCTTGCTGTAGGCGGGATTTCATCCAAAACCCACAAATACCTTCCTGGATGAGCTGCGTACGAGACTTTTTGCCATAATACCAGCAAGTTCATCCGACGAGTTGTTTGCTTATTTGTAGGTAGGCCTACGGACTAAAACCTTACTACACACTACCGTCTGCTATAGGGTCAGGACGGGGTAGGCCATGACACCCCATGGACACGTTTCATGTATTGTGTATTCCCTACACTACACTATCGTCTGCTAGAGTGTCACGACTCGCTAGCTGATCTCGTTATGATAGCAGCCCCCGCAATACATTGATCGTGTGGGCGATGATATTGTATGGCAACCTCATCTAGGATATTTTCGCCATTCTGTTTACAATTTTGTATGTGGGTGATCGAAAAGATATAAGTACTTAGTAGTTAGTAGTGACAGGCGATGTCTTGGTTCTATTTTAAAGTAGTTATATATTCTTAATAATGTTCCATAACAGTGAAATTTATACATAAAGAAATTAGCTTTATACATCTGTATTTCAATGAACAATTAATTGGTGAATACATTTTAAGAGTAAGATCCTTAAGTGTGTTGACATTGGCACATTTACCAGAATCGTAGTTTAGTTATCACCTACTAATCTTTCCTTCTGAAAAACATATTTGTTTGTATCGCAAGAGCATATAAAAATTAAAATGTTTTTTTTCTGTGATTGACTTTATTGTTCTGTTTCAGACTGCCAGCACAGAGGATATGGTCGTCGACCAAACTATAGAGGTCAGTAAAAATTATTATTTTAATGTTCTTAAAATACTTCTAAAACTTACTAATCCATCGTAGGAAATTGTATAATAAACCTATTACATGATAAATTACATTTAGATTCAAATAATTGTTGTAGCTAAATTAAATGGGGGAACCACAAATGTGACCAACATTGAAAAAGGTTTATTCATTTTTATATTATTATAAATCATAGAGATTAATTTTTGCTGTTTTTCCTGTTAAATACAGGCAGTTTATGGTTTAAATGTATGGTTTATAATTATGTAGAGTCTATTAATAAGATATATTATTTAATACGCCATAGTATTGACACAAGTATGCTCTAGTAAGCCACTTACACTAGATATTACACTATTAGCCTAATTACTGCCTCTGTTTATACACCTCATACCGTCATTGACCTAATAGCCTGTAACAGAGGTGGATTTTCATTCAATAACACCTAGTTTGGGGCTAATTACAAATCTACTGCCATTAGTCAATAGAATTCCACGTTGAATCAGCCATTTAGAAACACTAAAGAGCTATGAGAGCATGTCAATCTAATTGTCTTGCCCAGACGTTATTGGACCAGATAAGTTACAGCACGAGTTTCGTGCTGAGTAAAGTAGATTTTTCAACTATGAGTATGAACGTGTTAATTGATGAAGTACCCTATATTGTTTTTCATTGAAGTACAAGTTTTCTTAAGATGTGACACTGCACTGTATATTGTTCCTTCTATCTGTTACCAACTGCACTCCACTACATTGGGATATATGTGAAACCAAAAGTAGAAAATGTTCTAAACTTTGGTCAGGTTCCAAACTTATAGTTTGGTGACTCTTGTAACTTATAACATATGTTTTGCTTGTATCTTTCAAACTTACTCTTTTGTTATTTCTACTTATGTTTTAACAGTGAGGAGAAACGTACTTGTGGTAAAACTTATTTTAGCAATTGATAAGTAGCATTATCGCATTTTATACTTTAAAGGCAGCAAGTTGCGATTTTTTACGATTTGCAGTTAGAATATGGTCCAATTTATAATATATTTCAATAACTCGTAAGTTGCCTTTTTAGAGCTTATAGTAGAAACACGACGTGTTAATTTACTTAATACACTTGTCGTACTAGCTAAATCCAACAAAAAGTTATGCTTTTAGAACTCTGAATTTACGATACAATAATTTGACAAAAAATATTAAAACGTTTATGTATCCTTTGGTCTGAGTTTGGCTGACTTAAATCATGACCTTTCTGATTATGTATTAAGGATGAGTGAATAAGGGCCATTTATTTTATAATCTTGATACTTAGAGATTCACTCACGATCATTTACGTGGGTTTAAACACCTCTACTTTATAGAAGTATGACTTCGTAAAACCAAACCAGAAACTCCCAAGGCGCTCAACTCCAAGATAAACTGTTCCTGCGGCAAGTAACTTAGGTTTCATCGCTTTATTGACAGGACACACTAAAACTTTGCGAATCAGTGACAGTTGAGAATAAAAGAACCGAAGGTCCTGATTTTATATCCTTCCATAGAATCCAAGAATGTGTCCAAATTGTGTTCATATTTAAATATCGAACATTACGAATTTTGCACTGAAATCTTGATGACATTTTCGGCAATTTTTTTAAATGCTAGTATTAGGTGTCAAATACCCAGTGCGGGTTGAAACCTGAAGCACCGTTTTACATAAGGTCAAGTTTAGGGTTAAGACCCCTCCAAAGACACTGTCACAGATTTCAAAGATGACTCTGATGTCGTTAACATTAGTCATAACTATTTTATCACCACTCTATTTACTTACAACAACAATAACTACTTCTTTACTTGAAAATAATTGTTTTTTGTAATTATCTTTATATGATTGAAACCATTGGAGATATTAATTAATTTAATTACTACACACACTCACACTATCTTCATAGAAGAAGAGGAGAACGTTTTTAAAATCATTATGCGCATAATGTAGTTGTATTCCTATAGTTTGTCTTAGTACATGGATTTGATAACAATAATCCATCCAATCTTATCTTGTTCTGTTTCACTCGCAAAATATTTTTGTATCTTGTTATGCAAAATACAACGTGCAATGCAGGTAAGAGATGTTCTGAAATTTTGAAACAATGTGTTTGTGATTTGCAGATTGTTTCCGTATATTTATTTGTTCACTTTTACGTGATATATTAGTAACAGGTAACAGGATGAAATCTTTAATGACATTGACTATTGTTAATATTTGAGTAAAATCAGTTCAATTTAAACACGCCTTCAGGAACGCGGCGTTATCACTTCTTTTGTAATAACTTTATTTTCACAAACCTTTACACAGTTTAGTGTTATTAACGATCGCTTATTCAAGCGACGTTCAGGGAAGTCTAGTTTGAAGCAACTTCTTGTTAATCATTACTGCTCCGAGTTACATTCAATTATCACTTCTGAGCGCTGAACAGGTTCGCAGTTCGGTCGTAAATTAGAGTATCATAATTAAACTTAATTTGCTAGCTTCGCTCTTCCAAGAACTCGTCTCTCATTTACTTTTCGACATTACAATTAGTTGAACATTGGGGTAATTTTTTACTTGCATATGTGTTTACAATAACGGAGATTTCAATTTAGTTTTTACGTGTGTTAGTTTGTTTAGTGAGTAAATTCAGATAGTTAACGGTATAGATAGTTTACTGTAGTATACTGTAGGTATTAAACCTGCTTTTAAGAGTTTTGCTTCGGTATTACAGTAAACTTTAAACTCTAAATCTTTGTGGATACGCACAATAAACCAATTATCATTTTGTTTCATACTTTGTACACGGTGATATCCAATGAAGTGTTATAATCGGTTCTTCTCACCCTCATGTTTTTAATTCGTATTCAAATTCCATTAGGGATGTAATGTATTCCATTAGGGATTTGCGGGTTACATCCTAGCATTTACGACCAAAGTCTCGGGCTGGTAACAAGAGGGAGACTATAGCTGATCTAGTGGAGCACAAAATTTCTGTTGAATAATGACCGACTGGGTTCAAATGTCGTTGGATGGGTTGTTTTAGGTGCCTACGTATAATGCCCAGCTTGAATATATCTATCACTATGTATTTTGTCAAAATGGGCCAGTGGTTCGGCACCCAGTGTATGCCCCTCCCTATCAATTAAGAAATCAAGGTATCTTTGGTAAAAATATTATAAGGTAAGGTTTTAGGCGATATTATAACATTATTTTTACTACTTCATAAATTTTACTCCTTCCGCATTATTGTTTAGAATTATTTACTAAATGCCAAACAAGATTCACTGTCATTATTCACAGTGTTCGCTCATATCTCAGTCTAATATGAACAGTAAGCACTGAACACTGTTTGTTCATGAATGCAAACTGGTCAATGCACCACTTCAGGTGTAAGTAAGCGTGTTGCCGAAGTGCGATGAGTGTGAAATAGACAGGATCAGTAGTTTACAATAGACCAGATTACCAGATGTATGAGTCTATGTATCTCATTACATTAGATCAACTTGTGAAATAAAGGGTAGGAGTGCATTACAATCATCAGTCTGTTTGTACAAAGCCATAATATAGTATAATCCCTTCGTGTGGTTTTTGGTATGATTTATCGACACGTAAATGCATTCTTGGTCTGAGAGTATTCATTGTTTTACCCCCTCCGCAGCAAACCTGCTCACTAAGAGAATTTCCATTTACTTAATTGGATTCACTATATTCATCAGATGTATGTTCTATTCAAATAACATTATTTAATGAGAACTTACGTTTGCTGCTACAGAGAAGATGATAAGAGGTGTTCTTTGTTGAAACTTAATAAGCCTAAACAAGCAAACTACAACAGTTTATTTATTCTCTATAAAAATATCATCGAAGTTTTATGTTTCAACGATGTAAAATTATATCGTTGTTATGTTTATGCGTTTTGGACGTTTCTCTGTAACAATTAGACGTCCGACAACGCTTCGATATAATAAATCATATATTTTTCAAGCTCAACAAAATAGTTGGAAATAAACTACCCCATTGAGTATCAAAAATAGCTCAATTCTAATTTTCACTCTATACAACTATGCGTTTCCATAGTCTAATCATGGTGGTTTGTATAGTAAACGAAGGTTTACATTTTCGCACTGTATTTCATCAAAATTGGATGATATTTACTCGAGTTGTCGTGTAATGGATGAATTTGAATGGATGATGTTTTCACCTCTCGGAACCTACTGACGTGAAATCATATCAGTCGTGCGGCTAGATCTTCGGTAGTAGCTTATTCTTTTTATGAGAAATAAAACATGATAAGAAGAAGAAGAAGATATAAGCAATAAAAACACTAATGGTTTGGAGATTTTAACTTGGTGCTTCGGTATTAGAAGTTTCTTAAATATTACACCAGCTGCATATCCTCAAAATTGAGATCAAAGTAAAATCCGTATTTTAAAAAGTTCCGATCTAGACCTAGCAATCTGTTCAAATTAAGATGAAAAATTAACTCGTCCAGTTTGTACACTAGTTGTGTTTACACCATGTTCACATTTTATAAGCGAGATGAGATTTACATTTTTAATTAATACAATGGTTACCAATTGACTGACACTTATTTGAAATTGGAGAATACCGACAATCTGTATTCCACTACAAGGGCCGGGACACATCGTTTGTACAAAAGAATACAGTAACTGAACTGAGAATACAGTAACAATGAGTGATTTCATGTGGTCGATGGAAAACAATAGCATTGTTCAACCAGTCAGCTGTCTGGGTACACTGTGATAAGAGCCTTTCAGTGTTTTCCCTGGTGCTAAAGTACTTTGGTATCGGCACGAGGCCTATGATCCTACTTTTACTAGATTTGCTGGAAAATTGATACAAATTAAAAGCATAGTAAAACTTGCATATTTACTGTTAGATAAAAAAACAACTCATGTCATCATTCTTTGGTTATACGAAAATATTATAGTTGAAACTATCAAAATTTATTACTAGTAAATTTTACAGAGAAT